AAAAATATATTTTAAATCATAGATGTATTTAACAATATTGTCAAGAGTTTGGAAAACAAAACAAAAAAAGAATCATTGCTACTTTGATACCTTCACACATCTATTATGTTTTAGGCAACATTTTTCCATAGGTATAAGAATACTTACTTTCAGGAAAACCTGCAGATCCTGTGCCTGAGTGTGCTGTAGAATTTCTTGTTGTAGATGTTTGAATATAGCTATACAGATGTACACTTGATAATCAGGACCAAGGAAAACACAAGTAGCAATATAATGGCAGATTTCTGACCAATCTAAATAATTCCAGAAGCACTGAGTTATCCATTGCAGGCAAATCTAGGGGGGGAAATCAGTTGATCAGAAATCTTGCAAATATTTTAAAACAAGTTACTTTTAAAAAGCAATAATCAATAATTCACACAAGCCAATTAAAAGTTCAGTATTTAATCAAAATAGAAAGACATAAGGCATAGAAACCAAGCAAAACGGTGTCCTCTCTTTGCTGAAAGTAGGAGAAAACTTTCATGGCCTTGAGACTGTGAACTTGGAGGTAACTGGCAATGTTCACCTTGCTCATATACCTGAGTATTGCTCAATGCACTCTTTAGTCACATTGTCCTCCTCTTGCTCAGAACACCAGTCTGGTCTCCACAGATAACAAATGCTAAGAGAATATTTTAATTCAGAGATGGAAGTTTTTCTACCCTACCTATAATCACAGATGTATAATTATGCAGATGACAGATTGCTAAATGTTACATTAATGCAAATGAAATCCTGCTGAGTCAGAAAACAACATAACCTAAACATAATCACATAACTTAAAAACTGGGAGCTAATGTAGAGAAAAATTTAAAAATGAGACTTTTACCAAAAAGTGGGTTCTGCCAACCTTTGCATTTACCTTTTCTTGATAAAATTTGTTCAGATTGTAAAAGCAATAAATGCCAATTATGAACAATAGAGTCTTTAGGAAAATACATAGCAATAACACAGATCAACCTGGTTAACATTTTAGTACATTTAGTAACTTTCCAGTATTTTAATTTTTATTTATATTTTATAAATGACTATTGCAAGAAAGACTGCCTTTCTTGAATCTCCCTTCTCTAGTTTTATGCTTTTGTGATTGGAGATGTACAGGGAAAGGAGGCAATGGTGGTGGTGGTGGTGGTGGTGAAAAGATATCAGAGCCCATTTCAATTTGTCATACATGTAAAAAACACACAGGTATGATTTCTCTGCTTTTTACTTTTTTGGTCCTCTCAAAACATATTTTTGAACATACTCTAAACTTTCCTTTTAAAATTGATTCAACTTTTGACATAATTCTGCTCCTAACTGCTTTCAATATGACATTATTGATTTTATTTTCATTCACACACATCATTGGCCATAAACTGTTAAATTTTTGCCATTATAGGCAGGTTTTTTATTTCATCTTCTCACCATGCTTTCTCTTTTATTAGCATCAATGTCAACTATTTATGGTCAAACTATTCTCGACAAAGGCTTTCTTCTGTTTTCTAGGTTGTGGTTGTTCTCAGGTTAATGCTCTCTGCTTCATTAGACTCCAAATTATTTTCATAGTCTTATGAGTTTAACTCTTTATTCAATAGGAATATATTTATAAAAGCCCGCATTTGTCAATAGTAGATATTAAATTCCCCTTGGTTTTAACTCTGTTTGATACTAACATGATTCGGGCAAAACTGGACCTGAGCACTAGGTTTGGATTCAGAATAAATGTCCACTTGTCCGTTGTCCCAAAATGCCAATGTCCTGGTGGTTTCACAGGACTAAGGAGGAAGGAACTCCAGCTCCCACTTGTCTAATCAGCGGTCCCTTTGGCAGAAGCACTTCTAAGTCTTTAAGGCATTCCTGTCACAGTTCTCTGTTCAGTGCTATGGCTGCTAATGGCAATTAACCTCTGACCATGCTGGCTAATGAAATGAGAGTCTTTAGATGGCTGAAGAAACAGAAACAAAGAGAATGAATGAAATAGTGAAATGTATACAAATGGTCCACACAGAGAAAGCAGTTCGCATTCAGGTGTCAGTTTTTAAGGGTGACTGGTGAGTAGGCAAAGATGAGGGAGGGGTAACAGCTTCTGCCCATCTTCTTTCTGGTTGACTTTACTGCTCCACAGGTTAAACTGTGTGAAATTACTAATAGTCAACTTTTCCTGACCTTCAGAAATGCAATATGATACAGTTCAAACTAATATTCCTGAAGTCAAAACGCATGTAAGTAAAAAGTTATTTGTCAATCCAACCTTATCTATTCTGGCTGGAAAAAAAAAAAAGTCATCCCAGAATTTAGTAAGTAGTTTACTATGACAGCTACTTTCTAACACATGGTTATTGGTTTTGATTTCTCATATTATGTACACTTAATCATTATCTTACTCTTCTGTCAACAATAGGAATAATATGATCTTACTATTATATGGGAAAGTTACAGTAGAAAAAATGAAATACTATAAATGAAAGCACTCTAAAAATATAAAAAGTCCTACATATATGTCACTATATAACACAGATACATAAATTATTATTATTCATTTAAATTGAGCATGCACCTAGTTATATACAAGGCACGAGTGTATGCTGTAAGAGGGAAAAAAGAAACCAACTTCCTGTTCCCACAGATTTGACATTCTGAAGGGGAGTCACAGACTTTTAAAGATACATGTGTGTATATTCTTTTCTCTTGGCAGAAATGATCTTTTCTTCTTGTTGTTGCTAATATATGAGCAAAATATTTCAAGAATTACTAAACTGTCATGCTAAAAGTCTAGAAGACTATTCCCCCGAAAGTGTGATGAATATTGTCACATTTTTTTAATCGTTGAGCAAATATTTTTCAATCTACAAAATGACTGACCTGCAAATTGGATTACTGTCAGGAATTTTAAGAGGGCCAAAGACACAATATAAATTCAAATAGATGTGTATTTTCCTTGTTGTTGTCATTAGGTGCCATCGAGTGGGCTCCACCCATTGGGACCTTACGCACAACAGAACTAAATGCTGCCCAGTCCTGTGCCAGGCTCAGAATTGTCCCGATGTCTGAGGGTACTGTGTCAGTGCATGTCTTTGAGGGCCTTCATCGTTTTCGCCATCACTCCACTTTGCCAAACATGCCGTCTTCTTCAGGGACTGGTTTCTCCTGACAACATGTCCAAAGTACGCCAGACCAAGTCTCGCCATCATTCCTCTAAGGAGCACTCTGGCCTTACGTCTTCCAATATAGATCAGTTTGTACTTTTAGCAGTCCACAGTATGTTCACGATTCAATCTTCTTCAGTCTTCAGCTTTCACATGCGGATGCTACAATGGAGAATACCAGGCCTTGGATCAGGTGCACTGTAGTCCTCGAGGTAACATGCTTGCTCCTCAATATTCTACAGAGGTCTTGGGCAGCAGAGCTACATAATGCAATTAAGTCTTTTGATCTCTTGACTGCTGCTTCCATGAATAGTGATCATGGATCCTAGAAGACAAAATCCTTGACAATTTCAAGCTTTTATCCATTTATCATGATGTTGTCTATTGATGCAGCTGTGCAGATTTTGGTCTTCCTTACTTTGAGTTGTAATCCCACTGAGAGATACAATCCTAGATCTTCATCAGCCAGTGCTTCAATTCCTTCTCACTTTCAGCCTGTAAGGTTGTGTCCTCTCCCTACCGCAGGTTGTTAATAAGCCTTCCTCCAACGCTCATGCCACACTCTTTTTCACATTTTTCCTTAATATTATTAAGTATGGAATTTCTCAGACACAAATAAAAAAAGGTAAAAAATGATACAATGAATCAGACTCCTCATTCAGATGTAAAGTGTGACTCATTAATGTCTCTGAAAACCATTTTATTTTATAGGTTCTCTGTCTCTACCTCTTTATCTCTACCTCTACCTTGTAGAACTTCCCACAGAATGGATTTCTCAGATTGCATCCCTATGTGCACATACTTCTGTCACTTGTGTCTCCTACATATTGATAATTAAGTATAGAGGCTTGATCAGATCAGGTTTGAATGTTTGTTTAGTAACCTTAATTCACAGGTAATGGTACACATCAAATGATGTATGTTCCCTGACCCTCCTATCATTTTTCCTCTATCCCTAAAAGCAACCACTTGCCAAAATGAAAAATGGTAACCTGTGAGACACAGAAGTTGATGGTCCTGCCTAGTTTTTCTGGGTCTCGCAAGTTTTCCGCCTTTGGTAGCATATGGCCTTACTACTTCTATCTTATTAATTTTAGGGGGAATTTTTAAAATCATTTTATTAGGGGCTCATACAACTCTTTATCACAATCCATACACACATTAATTGTGTAAAGCGCATTTGTACATTCATTGCCCTCATCATTCTCAAAACATTTCCTCTCCACTTAAGCCCCTGGCATTAGGTCCTCATTTTTCCCCTCCCTCCCCGCTCCCCCCTCCCTCATGAGCCCTTGATAATTTATAAATTATTATTTTGTCATATCTTGCCCTGTCCGACATTTCCCTTCACCCACTTTTCTGTTGTCCATCCCCCAGGGAGGAGGTCACATATAGTTCCTTGTAATCGGTTCCCTCCTTCCAACCCAATCTCCCTCTACCCTCCCAGTATCACCATTCCCAGTATCATCACTCCTGTAGGGATCATCCACCCTGGATTCCCTGCATTTCCAGTTCCTATCTGTACCAGTGTACATTCTTGGTCCAGCCAGACTTGCAAGGTAGAATTCGTATCATGATAGCAGGAGCGGGGAGGAAACATTTAGGAACTAGAAGAAAGTTGTATTTTTCATCGTTGCTACATCGCCCTGACTGGCTCGTCTAGGGGGAATTTTTCTTTTAGTTTTTCTTCTCTGAGAGGTTTCCACTTTACAAGGGGATGATTTTCTCAGGACGTTTCATTCATATAAGCACAATCTATGTATATTTGTCTTCCCATCCTTTTATATATAAAGTCACATACAAAACTTTCCTTCTTTACATTTTCTAGAAGCACTGCCACAGAAAATACAAAGTGATGAAAATAGTTTTCCTTGAATCCTGCTTTTGTAATTGGAAGTAGGGTGCAGACAGTAAGTACAAAAAGACCAGTAGGTTTTATCTTGGCGATATCTAGATGATATCTAGAGTATTATTCATGTTAACACAGTAAAACATTGAGGATGATGACCCCAAGGAATTACAGAGAAGGATCATCAGAGATGCGTGGCACTTCACCAGGGAAGCGGTAAAAATACATTATGGAAAATCTTTCAATAAATAATAAGTTGTTTAAAAAGTTAATTAGGACGTGCTATTTTTGTTGTTAATTTTAAAAAAGAATTGATATCAAAATTTCTATTTTCTTTCCAATCTTAGTTACTCTTAAAAGGAAATCTCATCAACAGGCATTAATTTTTAACTACATTCACTTTTTACATAATCTAGTAGAGGCCATTAATTTTACTCTAGAGATGGTGTATTTCACTTAGCAACATGGCCACCAATCCTTCATTAATTAGCCAATCCCTTAGTGAGTAAAGAATACACAACTTCAAAAAGAACAGCTTCTAATTAGATTAAAGTGACTAAGCTTTGAAATACAAAATTAGTATCTAAATAAATAATTAATCACATTATTGTCTAGTTAACATAAGACTATTTTCATATTTTATAATCAGAATAAAAATGGCAAATATAACAACAAAGCAATGATCTATACTTCTTAAGGCATAAAAAGTTTTAGCTTACATAAAGAACCATTAAAAAGTCACTTTTAACATTGACTAATTTAGGAAAATAACATACTGCCCAGAAGTAATACATGTAATTTTTATTTATAAAATTTGCAACTTATATGCAGTTTTAAATTGACAAATGTAAGTATGATATTTTTCTTTATAATTACTAAATTGATAGAATGGGACCTAAGATATTGCACGTTTTCCTTGGTCTTTAGTAGTGCATGTTTAAATGAAAAAATATAGACTAATGTATTCTTAGTTGTATTAGAGAAAACATATACTAATCAAGGTTAGAATGGCCAAACGGAAATCTTAGGATGTACATATTGCTCACCTTGTTTGAATTTTAGAAAAAAAATAAAATCAATTTGTTAAGCTCATGCTAAACATTTAAGCTTATACTGAATAACTGCTTCTAATCAAGTGTTTGAGCAAAAAGTGTAAGAGCTAAAATAGGCTAAAGGAGAACATTCCTTTCCATTACATACAAGATATTGCCAAAGTTGGATTTATTATCTTTAGGAAATCTGAAATGAACAGATGGTGGCAGATAACCCACTGTAAGAAAAAATAGTTAATGAAATGTATAATGCTTTCTTTAATTTTTAAAACACATATTTTTAAGTAATATAGGTGCTTAGCCAGCTTCTTGTCATGCATGCCAAATTTTTTGGGCATCTACCATTATAATTACCACAAGGTCAACAGGCATAATAGTATACATATCTTGATGTCAAAAAGAACTAGTGTCTAAGAGGAACAGATTTCTTAGGGAAAATCCTAGGGAATGCAAGGACTACTTTTTTTAAATTACAAAATATATCAGTATTTATCTGTCGTTTCAAATTGTATCAATATGTTTTAAAAGAGGACCAAATAAACCCAAGCTCAAGATATCCTTCACCACAGGTAGTTGAAAAAATTTCTCACTTAATTAAGACAAAAATGAACACCTGACAAATCAAAACTCCAGGCTTTCTTCTGGAGCATAATTCCTTACAATAACCAGTTAGTGCTTAATAATGCAATGTTAAACTATTTTCCATTAACTCATCTAAAACAAGCTAGCTGTTATTTACAATTACTATGAAATAGCTATATATTTAATAAAAATGGAACAGAAATAAAGTGTGCCATTTTTAAAATTGGAAGAGGGAGAACATATGAAAGTTCAGTTAGGGAGGGAAAATGTCCTATATTAATATTAATGCATACAAAAACTGACAACTGAAAAAACCCTAATAATTATCAATAGTCAAAGTGAAAATTAAATTGTAAAAATAATTTTTCACTATCAATACCTATAATAAGAGGTGAACCACAGAAATAAAATGAAAACTATAAGATTGTAATAAAATTTAACACAAAGCAAACAAATAGAAAAGCTATGTTCTTAGATAGGAAGAATGAGTAGGGCAAGGATACAATATTTTCAAAGTAATGTATAATTTAACATAAATTCAATCTAAATCACATCCAAACACAAATGCCTAATTTGAATTGGGCATAATTATCCCAACTCAATTATCCCAATTTAAGTGCCCTTAGAAGACTTAAATAGGCAGAAATAGTGAAAATAGCATTTTCAAGGGTAGGGATAATCACAGCCCTCCAAAACAAGAGCCAAACTGATTGCCATAGAGTGGATGCTGGCTCCTAATGACCCTACAGGGAAGTGCAGAACTGTCTCCGTACGTTTCTAAGACTGTAACTGCTTACAGGAGAAGAAAGCCCCATCTTTCTCCCAATGGCAGTTTCCCTTATCCAGCTGGTGGTTGGTGGTTTCTCTTATCCAAATCACTAAATATCTATTTTAGCTCCCAATAAAATGGTCTTGTAAAAATGAAATGGCACTCATATAGATCAATATCCTAGGTAATTGTGAGCTCAAATGGACTGGTATAGACCATTGTGAATAAGACAATCATATGGTTTACCATACAGAAAATGACAGATGCAAGAGAAATAGCTTCATATTCCTCATCAAAAAGAGCATTTCAAGATCTATCTTGAAGAACAATGTTGTCTGTTTTAGGATAATATCCGTATGCATTAAAATAAATCCAGCTGATACAATTCTTATTCAAATTTATGCACCAACAACTAAAGCTAGTGATGAACACATTGAAGAATTACACCAACTTCTTCAGTCTGCAATTGATCAAAGCTGCAGGCAAGTTGCATTAATAATTATTAACAATTGGAATGCAAAGTTGGAACCAAAGAGTAGTTGGAAAATATGGTCATAGAAAAAAGGTAGAGATCACCTAACAGATTTTTGCAATATCAACTACTTCATCACAAAAATATTTTCAACAATATAAACAGCACCTGTCCATGTGGCTGTCACCAGATGGAAGACACAGGAAGTAAAGTGACTGTATTTGTGAAATGAATGATGAAAAAACTCAATATCAGCAGTCAAAATGAGACCCGGGGCTAACTGAGGTACAGACCATCAATTGCTCATATGCAAATTAAGGTTGAAGATGAACAAAATAAAAACAAGTTCTCCAGAGGCAAAGACAACCTTGAGAATATCTCCCCTGGATTTGAAGAATAGATTTGATGCACTGAACACTAATAACAGAAGTCCAGACAGGCTATTTAGCATTAAGAACATCATATGAAGAAAACAGAAGGCCATTAGAAATACAAGAAAGAAAGGAAAAATCAAAAGTGGATGTCAGAAGGGAATCTGAAACTTGTTCTTGAACAGTCTCAGTGCCATCAAGTTGATGCTGCCACCTAGCGCCCGACTGAGCTTCTGAGACTGTAATTCTCTATGGGTGTAGTCAGCCCTATCTTTCTCCCGACTCTTAATCACCATGCTACCAGGGGTCCTTTTGAACATAGAGCAGGTACAGCAAGTGGAAGAAATAATTATGTAAAAGATCTGGACAGGACATTTCAAAGGACAGCTCAATAAGACAAAATATAATGGAATATGCAAAAACTTGATGTAAGAAAGGCAAAAAAGAACACATTCAGAAGATCTCAAACTAAAAGAACTAACAAACAAAATTCAACACGAGTTATAATATCGAAGGATACTGTGGGCAAATATTGAACATGGTACTGAAGGTCAAAGTACAAATGCTACAGTGAAGGCATGAGAATACAGGAGGCTTCAGGAATGGATGGAAGAAAACCTGAGATGTTATAATGCACAATTACAATGCTAGAAGTACTCATTAAAGCAGTCTATGGGAAGACATTTGAAATTCTTTTTGTAGGGTATTTGTGATGGGGTGAAATCTGACACATGGAAAGCTGAAAATACAAGTGGGCAAGCAAGCAGAAGAGATACATACTTTTGCCCATTCAAAGAAAGGTTACCTGACTGAGCGCGAACATTATTACAATAGAATTAACATGTATACTACTTTTGTTGAGTACAATGTAAAAATCACGGTAGCTGTATGTCGGGGGTGAACTTCCAGAATTCAGGCTACATTCAGAGATGGAAGAAAGGAGGCCATGTGACCGTGTCAGAAGGACCGCGACGAACAGCAAAGAACACCAGAAAGATCGCTACGAGTACTTCATTAACTATGCAAAGCTTCTCAACTGTGTAGAACATAATAGAGATAGCATTATAAAGAATGAATAAAGTGTGGAATTAAACACTTAATTGTGTTCCTGTGGCACCTATACAAAGACCAAGAGACAGCTATTTAAACAGAATAAGGGGACACTCTGGCTTAAAATCAGGAAAAGCCTGATCAGGCAAAAAAGAACACATTCAGAAGATCTCAAACTAAAAGAACTAACAAACAAAATTCAACACGAGTTATAATATCGAAGGATACTGTGGGCAACGTAGCTTTACATCATACGTTGAATAACTGAAAAGCTAAACAATATGAAAAATAATATGACATCAGTACTGGAGAATGATTTATTAACAACCTCCAATATAGAGATGCTACAACCTAATTGAAAGAGGATTTGCCGCACAAGACTATGAGAAACTACTGTTTTCAGTTTGGATTATGCTTTAGATAATAAAACCAAAAAGATTCTCACAACTGGACAAATAAGCAACATAATGATAAAGACTGAAGTTGTAAAGGTTTACATTTTACATGAATCCAAAATCAACACTCATAGAAACAGCAGTTAACAAATCAAATTACCTATTACTCAAACTGCCTATTAAGCAAAAAAGAGGTCTTTAAAATGTTAGAAAGCAAAATTGTCATTTGAAATCTGTCCATGGCAAGCACTGGCTGGAAAGAAACATACATACCAGGCCTGGGAATTTAAGTAGATAAAAAAGTAGGCATAGTATACAATTATTTTATTAACTTAACTGTATCATTTATATGACATGAGACTGTGATTTTAAGGACACTGGGACCTTGGAATTAAACACTACTACTGTCTATGGATTACCTGCGATGGGGCAAATCCGGACATGTGGAAAGCTGAAAACACAAGTGGCAGCTCGGCCTTGAGTAGCATTTCAACATAGTGAGTGCTGCAGAAATATATCGGATGGATGCCAGATTCTGTGGTATCAATAGGTAGGTGCCTCTGCACAAAAGAGAGATATTGAAAGTTAAATAATGAATACACATATGAGACACGGCTTACAGAAATGCTTGCTTTGCTTTGAATTGCTGCTTCAAAAGTAATGTGGTACCATAGCAATTTACTCCAAATATGGTAAGTATGTGCATTTAAAAGTCAGGATGTTATACACTATAGAAAGAATAGATACTGTGTTCACATGGGTTAACTTAACACTTTATAGTTGTGATATTTCAATTTTTGGTGGACACATGAGGAAGCATGCTGTATGAAATAATAAATATTTAGGGTATACTTTATGTTTTAATCCTAGATGTACCCAATATGCTTAAATTTCCTGGTTTTAGCCATTGATTCTATTAACATTGAAAATGTTTTGCCTTTCCAGGAGTGGAGGATGTTTGCCTAGTCCATTTTTTTAAGATGATATAAATACTAACTTTATATCTAGGCTGTTTCTTATACTAAGAAACTCCAGCAAAAGCTGTAAAAATTTGCATAATGAATTCCCATCGAAGTTCTTAGGCCAACTATTTTATATAAATATTCTAAATCAGTTCCTCCCATTTACAAATTTGCGTTTCTCAACAATTTCTTCATCATGTGAGCTATATTTTCAATTTAGCCCTTAAGTACAGTTTATGATAATAAATGTCCAATATTGTTTTAATAAGTATTACTTTAAATATAGCATCTACTTATGCCATTTTAAAAAACAAAACAGAATAAATAATAAAATATAATTTGTACCAAGAAAAATTGTCTTCAGACTTAAAACTAAAAAAAAAATTTAACAATCAATATTAGATCTGAAAACTTTAATTATGAAACATTTAAAATTGCACTTTATTTTCTTGTCTTTACTGGGACTTTTATTTCTAAAAAAAATTACTAAAAAAGTTAATAGTTTAAATTAAATCAGACTTAAATATAATAAATTCATAGGAGTTAAACCATTAATTGTTTTCTCTAAAATTTATTGTCAAGCTGCTTTGAAGGATAGAGATTTAATTTGCATATTAAGACATCTGATGAAAACAAGGAAGAAATGGGTAGCGGGGGCACAGGGCGCTAACCCACCCAAGGGGAGGGTATTGTTTATATCTCCACAGGAAAAGAGGGACCAAACTTCAACCCAGTGCTCCAAGGTGTGAAGACAACATG